TCGATGACGAACCTGGGATAGTAGGACTTGAAGTCGTACACGTCCACATGATCGTGAATGCCGGGCACTGGTTCGAGAACGAGACCTCCGCCTTCGGCCGGTTCTTCCGCAGTCTCTCTTCGACGGGGAAACACGAAACCCCGTCTCGCAGCCTCCCTGCATAGCATGGACGACAGCATCTGCTTCCTGGTACCTCCGGGAAAGGTGCCCGTCAACCTTGACGCGTCCAAGACGGTTTCCACAAGATGCCTGCTGCGCACCTTGCGTTCGTATTCTCGGAGGACAGACAGCTCCTCATCAAGCACGTTGTCGGACGTTTGTGCAGAAAGTTCGTTGCAAGATCTGCTCGCGTACTCGTACATGGAGTCGCGATCGCGGCACCCATCGGCGTCCTCGGAGGTGTCGACGCATATCGGCCATCAAGATATCGGCAGGTCGCACGCCGAGCATCTGTTTGTCAAGACCGTCTTCACCCACTCTCCGTGATACACGAGAACGTCGGCGGACTTCACAATGTTCGTCAGACATCGCAGCACCTCCCTCTCTTCGGGCTCCTTCGACATCCTTCCGTCGGAGAGAACGACGGCCGTCACACGTCCGGTCACGTCGAGTCGAACGGAAAGGTAGAGCACGGAAGGACGGCTGTACGGGATCGGTTTCCTCGAGTTCGAGGTGGATTCGTTCGTCGTACTCGAAATTCTCGATGTATCCCTTCTCGTTCCTGGTGCATCGGTGCCAAGTGCACCCGTGCACGCCGACGGCGCACTTGGCGTCCAGGTCGTCGACGGCAGACGGCAGGTTGCCGAACGTGTTCTCAGCGGGGATGCCGTTCCTGTCCCGTGACCTGAGCGTGCGGTACGTTCGACCCACGGACTCGTATCTGTCGCCTCTTTGTAAAGTCACGTCGCCGTCTTCGTCTTCGGCGTAACACTGGAATTCCACCTTCATACTCTCCAGGTCAACCGGCCGTCCATCTGAATTTCTTCCGCGAACGGACAACCTTCCGGTTATCTTTGAATATTTGGCGCTCGTCAGATAGACGAACATGGCTAATTGTCAGAGAGACAACTATATATATTTAAAAAAAAACATTCGCATACAACAGAATTGTCGTTAAATGATTTCTTTTATTATTCACTTTTCAATTAATAGAAAGAATCTAATTTTCATCTGTACACTTTCGTACCGCCCGGTATCTCCCACTCCGACAGCCTCTGTTCGATGGGACGTCTGCACGTCGGGCAGTTGTTCACCCGCTTCGAGCACGATTGACAAAACATAAAATGTCGGCAAGGCATCGTCATCACCTCGGAGTACGCGTCCAGACACATCCGGCATCTGTCGCTTTCTTCCAGCATCCGGAGAGACATCCAACCGAAACCGGGACACAATTCGTTCAGCACGTCGCCCACCGTGTAAGCCATCATCTCCTTCTAAGGATGAGACAAGTACGCCCTCTGCGCGATCGCCAAAACGTCCGCCACGCGTCCTCGTTCGCAAGGCCAGTCGCCGAGAACGGAAGATATCCAATTCACCGCGGACGGGCGATCGTATCCTTTCGGTCGAACGTCCAATCCTTCCTTGCTTCGGTTAGTCGCTGTCCTGTTGAAAGGGTCGTCCGGGTCGCGATGCACTATGCACCTTCTGGCGATCTGAAAGGGAGGTGGAAGCACGCGACGAGACTCCGACTTGCACGCAGTCCTCAATCTGTCGATCTCTTTTATCACTTTCAAACATCCAGACGGAACACGAGTCGCAGCATCCTGACGGAACATGAGTCGCAGCAGACGAGATGGTTGCACGGAGTCAGGAGGACGTTCGAATCGCGATCCATGCACACCTTGCATGACATCTCGTCCTTGAGATCAGTAAGTTCCCTCAATAGATCTCCGCGAGATTTCTCGTCGTTGTCGTCGTCGCCGACGCGTACCTTGTTCGTATAGCTTTCGACGGGCGCACGAACTTCTTCTTCCTCTTCTGTTCGTTCCGGGCGTTCGTCTTCGGCATCTTCTTCCAAGCGAAGTTCGGCGATCAGAGACACCAAGCCCTCGTGTTTCGACGGATCTTCGACCCCGTCCTTTTCCTGTCGTCGGCCCCATTTTCATCGAAGTCGATTATGCTCGAGACCAGAACTTCGTTTGTCAACGAGAACACTTGTCCTTTCTTCTCGAGATGATCGCTCACGACCTTTGCGATCACGTCGCTGTCGAATCCGAATTCGGAGGCAAAATTAATCTTGGAAATCAGGGTTTCCTTCGTCTTGCGCCGCAACCACAAGCACGAACTCCCGTGTTTGGCGTGTTCAGAAAGAGGAAGGTCGTCAGGCTCCCATCGGCACAGCAATATTCTGCAGAAGAAACACCTGGCGTTATCTTCGAAACCCCCGTAGAAGAACCCCGCTTGCGACATCGACCTTCCGTCGGGTCTGTCGTGCGGCCAGTTGAGAAAGGTTTTCACCCTGTCTTCCTCGTCTTCAAATTTTGGAAAGGTAGCGGTTCTCTGCATAATTTCCTTTTGCATTACCTACTGATAATAGACTGATTTCGAATGAAGACAAATATGCACAATAACAACTTTGTATTGTTTTGTAATAAAGATTTTATTGAAGACAAAACAGAACATAAGATTTCATGTTTTTCTTTTTCTTTAGTATTTAATATATCGGAACATTTTTTTAAAAATTCTATTCCGAAGACGGGTTGTACTTCAACATTTTCGAGAACAGCCAGTCGTCCAGTTGCTGTTCCATTTCTTCGTCTCCGTACACGACCGTGTCTTGGTCAGAAATGTCCTGTTCGTCCTACGATTCGACTGGAAGCTGAGAATCCTCCGGAAAGTAGTCGGCGAGGTTTCCTTCTCCGGCTGTTCGTTCGTCGTCGATGGGAAGTTGAGAGTCCTCGGGAAAGTAGTCGGCGAGGTTTCCTTCTCCGGCTGTTCGTTCGTCGTCGACAGGAAGTTGAGAGTCCTCGGGAAAGGATTCCGTTAGGTTTCCTTTGCCGTCTGCGGTCTCAGCTTCTTTTCGTTCGTCGCCGACGCCAACAGTTTGGGAGGTGCTTGCGTCGTCGTCGTCTTCGTCGTCGAACTTGATCCTTTTGGTATAAGGAGCATCCGACTGAAGAAAAACAATCAAAAAATAAAAATAAAAATAAAGGTAAAATTACATCACGTCACACGTTACGTCCTCTTTGAAAAATGACATCCTGGTCCTTGTCGCTCGAATCGTCGTCATCGTCGTCGTTGGCTTTGTCCTTCTCGTCTCGTTTGTCGCCGGATCGCAACAACCTGACTCCTTTCCGAGAAAGCAGGAAACTCTGGAGAACGACCACGACGCAGAACCTGATGGCCTGCGAGGCAGTGAGAACGATCGCCCAGCGTCGTCCGACCTTGTTGATTGGACAGTCGGTGGCATCGATGCTGTTGGCGCTGAGGTCCAGAAGGTTTTCGTAGCAGTCGCCCAAAGACGTATCGCACTCAATCAAGTCCCGACCGTCGAAGGCGCACGGCCCGAGTTTGTAGACGAGCACGTTTCTGACGAGGTCGACGGTGGCGATCGCTACGCTGGCCAGACGCCGCCTCCCACACGTCGGAGAGCGATGTGTACCTGGAGATCGCGGCGGCGAACACGACCACAAGCAGGGTCGCCACGACGATCAGTATGCCCCGTTTCTGTACCACCCCCAATCGCTACCGCTACGAAAGTTATCGGACGAATTGGTTATGTGCAGCATCGCCGGTGCTATTCCAGTCGGCATGTACACGAGCGCAAACTGCACGAAGTAGTAGATGGATCCGGCCGTCCCTCCCAGTTCAACGACCGGACATCGACGATGGTCGGCATCCCATTTGAGAGCGTCTGCCACGGCTCGTTTACAGGTCCGATCCGTTCCTTCGGCACCGCATTCCCGCAACGGATCCAGATACGATGCCCCGCACGGTCCGATCAGGAATTTCAGGTTGGTGAAAAACGAAATGTTGGCGGATGCGCAGAGACAGCCGGCACGCTGACACCAGACTGGATGGCGCTCCGACTTTGACGAACGTCGCGTACAGGAAGGCGGGCAGGAATATCGCGTACCAATCGACTATCGGATGAACGTTCGCCTGAAGAAGAACGTCCACCACGAGCAAAGTCGCGATGCAAGACGAGATCAGCGAACATAACGTCGATTCTTTCATCATAGGTGGCCAGCCGCGTCGGTGACCGATGAGGTTCATACTGAAGATAGGAATCCTACCTTTTTCCCCCTAAAGAAGGGGAGCCTGGAAGTGAAAATCGACCTCGCCGTCTGCCAGATCGTTTCTGACGACGGGACATCGAGCGAACCTGTACACGGCGTTCATGCACTTCTGGAAATCGAGCGCGTTCTTCCACCCTAGATTGGAGTACAACTTGCGATAGGCCGCCGAAGTCAGGACGTCGCCTGCCCTGAGTACCGTCTCCTCCCCTTTCTTATCTCTGACGACCGGTTCGCCGAAATAAAACGCACCCGATTTGCCGGGTTGCAAAGGAAGCTGCCTCTCTCTCGCTTCCGTCGTAAAGTCAACCGATCTCATGGCGATCTCGCGAAACCGCACGTCCGCCGCAGGGCGCAACAGGGGCAGCACCAGTATCCTGTGTCGTTCCGTGGTCCTCCAGGCGGGTTTCCTTGCGTTAGCCATCAGAGCTCTTCGGTATGATTCGGGATGCGCGTATTCCGGGTGGTTGGTGAGCAGCACCTTGTAGAACAAGGCGCTGACGTCTCGAAACACATGCACATATATATAGGTGTATATATACACGTATATACACATATATATATACACATGTATATGTATATATATACATGTATATACACATGTATATGTATATATATACATGTATATACACATGTACATATATATATACACACACATGTATATACACATGTACATATATATATACACACACACACATGTATATACACATGTACATATATATATACACACATGTATATACACATGTACATATATATATATACACATACATGTATATACACATGTACATATATATACATATACACATACATGTATATACACATGTACATATATATATACATACACACATACATACACATGTACATATATACCTATATACATGTACATACACATGTACATATATATATACATGTATATACACATGTACATATATATACATATATATACATGTATATATATACATATATACATGTATATACACATGTATATATATGTAAATATATACATAGACATGTATATACACGTACATATATATACATGTATATACATACACATTAAAAAATATATATACATATAAAAATATATATACATATATATATATACATATACATGTACTGTATACATATATATATACATATATTGTATACATATATATATACATATATACATAAATATACATATAAAAATATATATAAATATATATACATATATAAAAATATATGTATACATATACTGTATACATATATACATACATATATACATACATATATACATATACAGTATACATATATATACATATACATACATATACATACATACATATACATATACACACATATATATACACATAGTAGCTAATACTGTATATTGCAATCGTGATTGGTCAATCTCTTCAAATGAGGTCAAATCATTCAAGCATCACTGGCGTTAGCTCAGTGGCGTTAGCTAATCTGGGGTCTGCAGGTAGCATTAAAAATGCCAAGGACGTGGCGTATTGAGTGGCGTTAACGCCACTGCCTAGTTCACACACAAAGGCGTACGCTACGCCAGGCTTAAGCCAGCCTTACGCCGTGTGTGTGAACATAGCCAAACTCAGGATTCATTACAAGATAGCACTTCTGACTTACAGTACAAGGCCATTAATAAATCATTTGCAACCTATGCCTCAAATCTGCTATCAGCATACATACCAGCAAGGACTCTTCGATCATCAATTCAACTCCTCCTAACTGAACATAATACTAAGAACAACTTGGGAAATAGATCATTTCTTGTTGCTGCTCCCAAAATCTGGAATTCTCTGGCCATACACATCAGGTCAGCAGAAAATATCATTATAATCAAGTCCAGACTAAAGAAACTGTTTGACCAGCACTTCCTCAATTAATTATTCTCTTTCTTGCACTACTTTTCTACTCTCATATTTTTTCTGTCTGGCTTGGCTCTGGCACCATGAGCGCACCATGCAGATAACGGTGCCTTATAAATGTCCATTATTATTATTATTGCTGTAGACACATGGTTTTATTTATTTCATGGTGAGTCGAATGGCCGAGTGGTTAGCAGGGGCGCCACAAGCTATAGCCATAATATCGGCGCTGGTTCGGACGGCACGCTCACCTATGGTTCTGGTGGTAGAACAAGTCTTTTTGGATAAGGACTATAAACCGTAGGCCCAGTGTATACAATGGCTCGTGTGCACTATAAAGAACCCAGTACATCCTTCGAGACGAATAGGGGGATACCCCAGTGTACTGGAACAGACAGCCCCTGTGGTTTACGATGAGGGTAGCACAGACACGAAGGGACACTTAGGGGTGAAGAAAGTCATTGATCAAGTTCCTAGTCCACATATCAAGCGCCCTGAGCATCTTACATTACATGAATGTAGGCTTGCCATGTCTTTTCTTGCCATATTTTTCAGTTCATTAACCTGCAATGTATAGAATATATAGTATAGAATGCAAAATTAATTATTGATGGTGAAATTTTAGTGAAATATGGAAATGACTAGATTTTTAAAAATTAAGATTTACATACCTTAAAGGGCACACTTACAGTTTTATTTGTTTACAATTTTGCTGCCTATTACAGGATGAAAATTAATTATAT